AAATATTAAATCATTCACTTCTTATCTATTTTTCCCATGCAGAACAAATACTGATAAATTTTACATTATTATGTTAATTTAAAAAGAATCTATCCTAAAATTTTAAACTATCATGTTACTTTACAATATGGAAGATCATGAAAACATTATGCTATGTGACAGATGTTAGACATAAAGACATAGAGGGCATGTTTTTATTCTTTGTTTTTGTTTTGGTATTTTTTAAGGCAGGGTTTCATTATATGGTTCAGGCTGGCCTTGAACTCACTTTGTAGCCCAGACTAGCCTTCAACTTGCAGTGATTCTCTTGCCTCGGCCTCCTGAGATTTTATTCTTTTTATGTGAAATGTCTAGAATGATCAAACTTGAAGAGAGAAAAAGGTGATTTGTGATTTCCAGGAGGAAAGTGTAGGGGAAAATTATTATTTATGGTATAGTGGTGGTGATTATACAAGTACAGTATTTGCATATACTAAAACCACTGAGCTGGGAGAAGTGTTGCATGCCTGTAATCTCAGCATTTGGGAGTCCAAGGCAGAAGGCTTGCTGTTAGAGTCCAGACTGAACTACATAGCAACAGCAACAAAAAAAGTAAAATAAAAAAATAAAATCACTGGATATACACTATGAAAAGATGAATTTCAGAGTTTGTGAATTATACCTCAATAAATCTGTCACAAAATCTCAGTTGAGAATTTTTTTTTAAATTTTTTTTTTTGTCTTTTTCTTTTTTATCGGTACCAGGGATCGAACTCAAGACTGCCTGCTTGCAAGGCAGGCGCTTATGCCACTGAGCTAAATCCCCAGCCCCCCAGTTGAGAATTTTTGTTTGAACACAATTCCTTTGTAGATAATCTCTTCTTTTTCTCTGGAAGCATTTAGGATTTTCTTAAAATGTAAAATAGCATAACAATTTTTTTACTTCATTGACTTTGTATTCTCTTGACTATCTCTGAGAGTTTTAACTACAGGAAGACAAAATCAGCCATGTATTTTCTGCAAACAATTTATGATCTCCTTAAGGGATTATAAATGTTTTTGGATTATCAAATTAGCACTACAAGGTAAGGGGAAGAGAACAGTCCTAGACAACTTTTTTTTCTAGTGGTTGTGTATCAGTGCACTAGAAGCATAAACAACTCTATTTTCAAGCAGAAAAGCGTTTAATATTTGGACCTAGATATTTACAAAAATCAATGGATGCTTAGAGTAGAAATCCATAGATTGTCTCTGAATGTTTGGCTCAAAGATTATACAACATTATTTGTAACCCAGTATCAGGAAGCTGGTAGCATTACTGTTTTGTGGTACCTACACCATAGCTACCTAATCCTATGGCACTTATATACAGACACTAGAACAAGTCAACTTGTCAATGCATTTTGGAGCTGTTGCCTATTGGTGTTTGCTATCATGATTGAAGAAATTCTTCCCTTCTTTCAAATCTGGAAAGCCCATCTTGTTGAAAGAATTTAAATCGTGTCTATAATCCTATCTCTAAAGGAACTCAGAAATACCCTTTGTATTCTAACAGACCCTATAATACAGATAAAGAAGTGGATAGGGATGGAAATAGAAGATCAGTTGTTATGGTTTATATCTAGATGTCTCCTCAAAGCCTCAGGCACTGATAGGTGAAGTTTTTATAGTTGCCTGAATCTAGACTGTTTAAATGTGGATTAAAGGTGTGTGTATGGATTAAAGGTGTGATAACTAAACTCATCCACTGAATAGGTAAAAGGGAAAGAGAGGCTAGCTGCCGCCGCTTTGTTGCTTGTTACTGCTTCCTATCTACACTGCCTAGGACTTGTTTCTCCTTTGCCATGGCACCTTGGCTTGGAGCCAGCTGTCTATGGACTGAAACCTCTGAAAACTGGGAGTTGAAATAGACTTTTCTTCCTTTAACTTGTGGATGTTGAGTATTTTGTCCCAATAATGAGAAGTAACTAAGATATTAATTATCTAACAATTTTCTGCACTCTAAAGTTTTATACATCCAGTTACACATAAACCTGACAACAATGATAGCAAGAAGATCGTAACCTATCATGTTGGAGATCACAAATTATAAATTGAAGCTAGGGCCTGGAGGCCTTACTGGTCCTGTAATGATGTGACACTCCTGGGCAAGATTACACCAGCATAGGATCACCACTGCCCTCTAAATCATCCGAACTGATCCTTGTCAACATAACGTACTCATCAATTTAAGATCACTGCCACCTTCTAAGTCACCCAATAATCTGACTGATTTTTGTGTGTGCCTAATAAATAGTGGCTAGTTCAGAGTGTCATTGTCTCTATCCATCCTGAAGCATTGACCTCCCAGTCCCTTTTTTATGTACCACTAACTTTTCTCTTCTTTATCATTTGCTGTATCTTTTATACGGTAATTGATCCTAATATAAATAAAAAACATTGTCTCTTTCAGGGCCATAAATTGCCCTTGACTCTTGGGGTACTTGAGTCTTATTTTAAGAAGGGATGGTTATAAGGAGTAAAAATCAAAATAATGAAGGTATCTATAAACCTATCATCTTGAATTATTACCATTCCAAATATACAACCATAAAAAACAAAAACACAAAAAATAATTATAGGATGCAATGAGATGATACAATAAAAAGAGACAGAAATAAATGTTGTTTTGTCAAGTAATTGCCATTCATTATAGTCTCTTCTGCAAGACAGAAAACCTTAACAATTCTACTGACACAGGGAGGCTCTGAAATGTTGCAGCCCTCTCAATTCTCAAGGTGACATTCTTTCCCAATAAATATCCTAAATTCATAAGCTTGCCTAAAATGTTAACTGGAAGTTCAGACTCACTGGTGGCTGTATCAGCCCTACGATTGATTTCATGAGATGAGCATCTTTCAGAGCAATGGTCTTCAGTGGACACAGGCATAAGTGAGTAGTGGGGGCTACTTTTTGTCTCCAAGGGACATTTGACAAAGTTTGGATATAATTTTGGATGTCACTATTTTGGTGAGGGTGAGCTGTTACTGGCTTGTAGTGGGTAGAGGCTAGAGAGGTTAGAACATTATGCAAAATACAGGATGGTCTTCCATAATAATGAAATATCTGACCCCAAATATCCACAGTGCCAAACTTGAGATATCTTGTTTCCAACAAACAGAGAATTTTTCTACTTTTCTGAAACCAGTTTTGAGGAAGTGTTTAAAACCTGGACTTTAGGGGCTGGGGATTTAGCTCAGCGGCATAAGCACCTGCCTTGCAGCAGATGTTCGTGAATTCAATCCTCGGTACCAATAAAAAGATAAAAAAATATTAAAAAAAAAAACCCTGGACTTTACATCATCATCTCCTAATTCTTCAAGGTTGTCAGAGTTGCCAACAAAGTCTTGCCCAGCTCATTTATTTCTCAGTTCATCTTAATGTTCTATTATAACAAACACGTGTTACCAAGGGCTGTGTTCAACAGGTAGCTTATTCCAGGAAATCACATATGATAATATAAGTAATTGTATTATTATTGCTTGCCTTGGAGTGTCAATATTTTATTTTCTGTTAATGTGATGCCCACTGCTTTTAGATCCAAACCAGGTCAAATAAAAACACCTCAGATTCTCAGTATGGAGATTTTTATTTCTCTAGTTTTTGAACACCTTTATGTACCAATCAGATTGTGAGTCTTGACTTGTTTGTCAGCTACGAACATTTGTATATGTATCCCCTTCTTAAGACTGAACATTTTTGTCTCCTCATTGCTTTTACCCAAGTGGTTTAGATACCTTATTGTCTAGACTTAAACATTTTTCAGGATGCCTTTCCTTGAGGGCTTTTCCTCTTTAGGCATGTGTGTTTTTCCTTGGGTAACTCTGTAGCACAATATATAGACATTTACTTGGTTGTATCTTCAACGGGGCCTTATCCTCCAGTAAGGGGAAAAAAAAAGACAATCATTTTGCAGAAGGTATCTTCTTTAAATTGCTCTGTGTATGTATTTAGTAAACATTTTTGAGTTTGATGTTATACCATTTATTCCAGTTTACTATCACAAAAGAATCACACATGTTTCTTTAAAGTGTATGCTTCACAACTTCATTCTGTGATTTGATTCTGCAAATTTCATTTAGTCTTTCATAAAACTGCATTCTGTAAATTTAATTTAGAGTCTTTCATGAAACTGTATTTCTCAACATTATCATTCAACATATATTTGTGGAAAAAACGAATAAATTGAATCTGTTGCATCCAAACCTTTCTGAACTTTTTATATATAAATCTTTCAAAAGCTGTTAAAACTGCTTCAGATGCTAATATTTTAATAATGTTTAAAATATTTAAGTGAATAAATGTGACATTTGATATTGCTCAAAGACTGTCGTATATCTGCTCTCATACTTTTTAGGTTAAAATTTCATGTTGAAAGGAATAAATTCCCTTCATAGATGCAAGACATAATTTCATATTCACGTAGATGCACATTATGAGATAATACTGTACTGTGTATGCTTTATTTTTGTAGAAATGTATTCCCACAGTACAATAGTTAATATAATTAAATGGATACTTTTTTCGAGGTTAAATGTTTTTTTGAAAGCAGCAATTAGACAAGGTCTAGTGTGATTTTTACATTGTCGTTTTGCAAAAAAATCAATATTTTAAGGATGCAATTTTTGGAAGCAGCAGGTTAGTGTAGCTATCTGTATCAGTTATGGGTATTGTTAGTGACATAAAGTAGCAAATGCGGAATGGTTACTCAAGTACTGTAAATCTTAAAAATAATCAAAATCCCAAGATAGGAACTGGCTTCCCACAGATTTGGGTGGGTGGGGGGGAACACCACGCGTGGGAAGGGCAGGACCAAAAGCCTTGTGGGCGGAGCTCTGGTGGATGTGGGCGGACTTTCTCCTCCAGCTGCGCTCTGGTCTCCGATCCTCTGGCGCTGGGCTCCAAGCTGCTCGGCTCCCTCTCGGCTTCCGTTCGGCTGCTCCCCGCCTACACTAGAGGAAGAGCAGCTTTGAGGGCCGCGCACGCGCTCTCCGCGCCATCTGCTCTAAGCGTTGCCCTCAGCCTGGTGTTTTCACTTCCTTCTTTCTGGAGCTGTATCCGGGTCGTTTGCTTTCCCTATTGTCTCAGTCAGTCGGCCTCGGACTGTGCAAGTTCTAGGTGTTTTGTTGCTTCTGGTGCAGGCTAATAAAGTCTTCTTTTGTGTTTTTCACCCGGGTGTGTCGGCGCCCCAGGGCCGCGCCGCCTGGGTCGCTAAGCGCCTGTGGCCGGGAGCGCGGGAGGGGCGCTAGCTACGGGGTGCGCGGGCTGGGGCGGGGGTGGTGGGGGCCCGGGGGCGGCTCTGGGCGCGCCCCTGCTGGGGTTCGTGCTGCCTGTCTTGAGTAGCATCTTTCGGACAGCTTTCCCGGTCCTAGTCCCGGACCTCGGCGCTGCCCGGGCTCCCGCAGCTTCACCCTAGGTCTCCTCCAAACGACCACCTCACGGATTCCTTAGTAAGTGTATCCGAGGCCTCGGTGGGGAGAGAGGTCCTTTCAGAGGGTGGGGGGTCCCGCGGGACACTGGAGCCTCCGTGGATGCTCCCCCTCCGCGGTCCGGGACCCGAAGCCCGCTTCTTTTATTCCCTGGGCTTTGCGTTTTCTGTGGACTCTTGCGATGTCTAATTGAGGGACTGAAAGAGAGCCTCAGAAGCATCTCTGTGGGAGGTACGGGGAGTGAGTCTGCTGGGATTCGGCCCGCTGGAGTTGGCGTCGGCCACACCCCCGGGGCTGCAGCTGCCTTCTGTCCGCGCCGCAGACTTTTCTCGGCGCCTGAGGCTCAAGCTGTGTTAACACAGATTGCCTGCTCGAGGTCATCTTCATCTTCAGCATCACAGCTCTCCCCAGTGTTTGCCATGCTTATGAATGACGATGTAAATATTTTTCTCTTTTGACAGTGGATCGAAGCTCCAAGAGAAGGCAGGTGAAGCCTCTGGCAGCTTCTCTTCTAGAAGCACTCGATTATGATAGTTCAGATGACAGTGATTTTAAAGTTGGAGATGCCTCAGGTAAATGTTTCCTTTTTTTTTTTTTTTTTTTTTGCCCTTTTGCTAGCTTTTTGAAGTACTTTTATACTTTTTTTTGGTAAGGTTCGGTTTTGATTAAAATGCCGAGTTAAAGTGAAAAAACAAACTTTGTTATTTTGTCAATTTTCGCAAGATCCAGTCACTAGATCCTACCATTGCTTCTGTTTTTATTGATACTCAGATAATTAGTAAGTAGGGAAGGATGTTTCCGAAGTTACAAGAACATTTCCTCTATTTTATACCTTAAGCTCTATTTGTGCTTATTTGACAAAGGAAAAAGTCAAAAGATAACCTGAAGTAGAATATCCTAAGAGTACAGCGAACTATGTATAGCTCTGATCAGTGATTTTCTTTTCAACTCACCCTACACCTTCTGAGGAGAGTTTCTTTTTGTCTGTTAACTCTCTAATAAAGTGTGCATGCTTTTTATATTTAGTGATTTTAGAAAACACATTTTAAGAGATCGTATCCATTCACATTGTATGAATTTGAAAAACAAAGAAAAATTTTGTCTCGTTTATTGTATCTCGTGTATAATGTATGTGTCATGTAAGATACAAAGTTTTAATTGAGACTGACACATACAAACTACTTAAATATTTCATAGGTAAGTTACTAGTGTAGTGAACACATAAATAACAAAAATTATTTACAATTTTGCCCCTTTCCTTGGAAATTTAGGTGAGTAAAAAAATGAAAACCTCACATGTTTCATCCCTTAAACCACTTTCTTTTGCTTTGTAGTGCTAGGGATGGAGTCTGGGGCTAACAAGGCCTATATGCTAGGCAAATGTTCTCCCTGCACTTCTAGCTCCTCTGACAGTTTGTAAGTGTCTTTCAGAAGTTTGCTTTGTTTAATTGTCTCTCCTGATTCTTTTTTGCTTTTGTTTTTTTCCTTGCTAGGGGAAAAGGGATAAATTAGTATACTGTGTTGCAGTTAATTACTTTTAATAGCATCAGCAAACAGAATTTGCCTTATATTTGTTGGGAACTTTTGTTCATATTTTTTCATTTAACTTTTACGTTAATTCAGTAAAGGAGATAGTATTTATAAGAAACGGGGATACTAAGTTTACATAATTTGCATCCAGTCACTCAGGTATAATGAGTCCAGCGCATTTGACTCCATAATTCATAGTCTTTTCACCATTAGATTTTAAGAGTGGGTAGATGTAATCTTAAACTAAAACTACTTGGGCATTGTGGTTACTAATCAAGTTCATTCCCAGCAATCAAAAGTTGATGTTTATCTTGATTAACTGTTTCAACTTTTGCTTCTCAGTTCTTCATTTTCCATTTAGTGATGCTTGAAATTGTCAAAGAAAGGAAAGGAAGGGGAAGGACAAGAGGTAAAATTCAAATGTCTTAGTTTTAGTGGAAAAAACTCAAGAGATTAAAATACTCTTGGGTATGGCCAAGTGTGGTGCTACACACCTGTAATTCTAGCACACCTACACACCTGTAATTCTTGGAAGGCTGAAGCAGGAAGATTGCTGTGAGTTCCAGGCCTGCCTGGGCTACAAAATGAGTTGAAGTCCAGCCTTAACTGCATAGCGAAACTTTGTCTCAAAACAAACAAACAAACGAACAAACATGTAGAATACTCTTGACTGTCAATTTGTTAATAAGGTTGTAAACAAAAATAGTTAACCTCAACAGTTATGAATTTTTTCAAATACCATTATGGGATAAAGTCTAAAACTTTTAAGTAGTCTAAAATTAATCTTGTGACAGTAAATTCTGATTTCATGGATAATTTTTTCCTTTTGTTTAAGTAGAGTTCATTAACAGACATTTATCCTTTATAAAGGGTAAAACAATCTAAGTATACAAATATATACTACTCTATCAAACTATGTAGAGATTCCTGACCGCTTAAACCCAAACCATACTGAACAGTAATTATTATTGATAGGATGAATTTTGTTAAGCTGAGTTTTGTTAGGCATGTATGTGTGTACACATACACACACACATTTATTTCCCCATTAAAAACACTGAAAACGTAACTTTTTGTCCTTCTTGTCATATAATACCTATTCTGTTGCACTTATATGTCCCTGGCTTTCAAGGATTTTAAATTTGTGACCTAAGGTCTAAAATCACAAATTTATTTGTGTAGTTCTCGGTGTATTGCTGTAAAAGGAAAATTAGCAGAAGATGATTTTGTTTAAGTTGATTAATAGTCAAAGAAATTGGGTCATATTTTGATTGAAGGACATTAGTGTTTTCCATAGCAGAGATGTTGTCTTCCTCTATATTACTGCGGGTTCCTATTTTAATTCTTTCTGTTGTCTGACATAAGTAAATTTAGTTGGACTCTTGAAGGAAATAAGCTGTCAGATTTATAACTGGTTTTCAAATACGTTGAATTTGTTGGATCCCAGTCTTTTTTTTTTTTTTTTTTCCATTTTCTTTTTTGTCTTTTTCATTTTTATCAGTACCAGGGATCGAACTCACGACTGCCTGCTTGCAAGGCAGGCGCTTATGCCGCTGAGCTAAATCCCCAGCCCTGGATCCCAGTCTTTTTTATAAACCATGGTGGGTATGGTGGCACTCACCTATAATCCCAGCACTGAGAGGCTGAAGCAGGATGATCACTGTGAATTCTAGGCTACCTTGAGCTGCGCAGTGAGTTCAAGGCCAGCCTGAACTGCATAGCAAGATCCTGTCTCAAAAAAATAAAAAATTAAACCAAAAAACTCTCGATTAAAGATAAAGACTCCCCAATCTATGTAGCAAACCACAGTTAAACTAGAAGAGCAGAAACAAGTAAACGTGTTTGATCTTGTCTTCTTTCAGGATGACCTGTATTGAATGAACCATTGACCTTCTTGGAACTTGAGATGATTAGATGGGTGGCCGTTAGTTGTTGTGTACATTAGTTTCTTTTTATCATCATCTTCAAGTTTGAAATTTGACTGTAAAACTATTTGTGTTTCTGTCAGGCTTAGAGAATACATACAGAAAACATGAAAAGATTATTATCAATACTCCAGCAAATAAACATAATTTTACACATGTGCTTCTCAGATGATAAAATAGAAAAAATCAAAATACTAAATGATGCTCTACCAGTAAGAGTGGCAAGTGATTATTGACAAAATTAATAATTATAAGCCTCTATTTTTAGAACATTTTGAAAGTGAAAATAGTTTTATTTATTTTTTTTTCATACTGGGAATTGAACTCAGGGATCTTGTGCTTGCCAGACGTGTGCTGTGCCACTGAGCTGTATCTCCAGTCCTTTTTTTAAAATATGTAATATGAAATGAATTCTTTCTCATTTTTGATTGAGGACAATCAATAAGTAATGTTTAAAATAAGCTTGTCCTGAAATTGTATACATGTATTAGAATTGTGATGATGCCCAACAGAAGAATGGTATGTAGAAATGTTAGGTTCAGTCATGTGGTACTAAAGAGTTTTGTAGATCCATAAAGTTGACTTTGGCAATTTTTTAGTTTAGTATAGTTAAAGTGGTTTGAAACTTGAGTCTAGGACTGGGGGTTGATCTAAGACTTGCTTGCTTTTAGTTATGTGCTGTATAAAAACATTTTAAAAGATGTGTACATGTATTATTTTATTAAACAACATAGCAATGCCATGCCCTGGCCTCCCCTGTTAGCTTTAGATCTTGAACCATAATTAGTTTAGTTAAATCATATTGTCAGAGAATAATTTAAGTGAAAGTCAGCTTGAGACTTTCCTAGAATTTTGCTTTAATATTGTTTTGTGCTTCACCTGATTTTAATAAGTGGATCAACATATTCATTGACCATTTTAGTATTTTTTAAAAAGTATTTTGCTGGATATTTTGGGAAATTCACAATGAATTAAAATCACATTATAGTAATAAAATAGAGTAATAGGTGATACAAAGGATGATTGATTAATTGCATAGTTTAGGTCTTTAAGAAGAGATGAGATTATTTTAGCACTAGATTCATCTGGAACAGTTTTACTGTGCTAAGAGTTAAACATTGAACTGAAAGAGACAGACCTATTAAATAGCTATCTTGGTGAGGGAAACACTAAATATTAAAGGTGTGAAATTGGATGTGTCATTTATTTTGGGGGATTAGAACTAAGTAAAAGCATAGTGGAAGAAAGCGAAGTAGGGTGGTACCTACATGATATCCAGTTGCTTGGAGGCTGATGCACAAGGTTGGAAATTCATGCCCAACCTGGACTACATTGATAGATACTATCTCAAAAAATAGTAAAAGAGATAAACCTGGAAATTGAGAGTTTTTAATACTAGATAAGGGCTTTTCAGTCTCAGCACTATTAATATATTGGGTTGAGTAATTCTTCATTGTGGAAACTTTTCTGTGCATTATGGTATATTTAGCAGCATCCATATATATTAGGGGCATGTAAGCAATCTCTCAGTTTCATGGCGACCATTGTCTTCAGTGGCAATAGATGTTGATGCATGTTCTCTGGGGGAAAAAACTATCCCCACTCAAGTACTCCTGGTTTAGATTTACCCAAAGAATGTACTATGACAGGGCAGAACTAGAGTCAGAAGATAAAATGAATCATGTTGACTTACCAGCTGATCATTCAAGAGCTATGCTTAAGTAATCAAAGATAGCTCCAAGATGATAACTCTGAACAAACAATAATTTAATGATCTGTTTTTTATTAAATATATGGTACATAGTAATCCCTGTTGCACTGCATCAATTAATAGAACAACTAAGTTTGCTAAAATTATGAAAAAAATAACAATTATATTGTAAAGTTAACAAAACAGTTGATCAGGATTTTGTTAATATTTATCATGGGGAAAGCTTAAGCATTGGTGATGATGGTGTTGAGTGTTATGAGTTAAATTGATTTTTATTTTATCAGTTATTGTGAAGAGATTCTTGAAGATTTGTGTTTTTGCCCTGTAATTAAAAGAATTTTTTGCTGTCTGTTAATTGAAATAGGTATTGCTTAGAGAGATTCTGATGTATTATGTGTTTGAGAAAGATTACCTTCTAGTTAACCAAATTACAAGTAGTATTTTAATTCGTAATTTTTAAAAGTGTAACACAATTTATTTTAGAATTGCCTAAGTAGCTGTCTTTGAAATATGTGGCTCATTTCTTCACTTTGGCTTTTTGGGATATAGAGATGATAGATTTGAAATAGTGTCTGATTCTGTACTAATAGAAACTTTTTTGTTTGTAGGCTCTAATACTACAGATAGCCAAAGACACTGTTTATTCATCATTACCTAGCTATGGGTGGTTCTGTTTTCCTCTATTCTTTTCTTTTTTTTTTTTTGTAATCGATACCAGGGATCGAACTCATGACCAAGCGCTTGCAAGGCAGGTGCTTATGCCGCTGAGCTAAATACCCAGCCCCATGTTTTTCTGTATTCTTAAAGTACATATGTTCTAAAAAGAAGTGGTGCCTAATTGCATGAGATTGTTTTTCAGATATCATTTGGTATATTCCTGATCCTTGTAATTAGAATATGAATAATGTGTTACTTTTGTTGAATAAAAGGTTTGGCAAGTTAGGGTTTGTGGGAGATTTTCACATTCTTCTAGTAAACATTTAAGTTTATTTAAAAAAATTGTTCTCAAGCCAGCACTTGTAGTCTGTAATTCCAGCACTCTGAATGGGTGAGGCAGAAGGCTTGCAAGTTTAAGCCCCAAGTGAGCCACATAGTAATTTAGTGAGATACTGTCTCAAAAAAAAAAAAAAAAAAAAAAAAATTAAAAAGTGCTGGGCATGTAACTCAGTGACACCTACATGAAAAAACAGTTACTTGGAAGGGGCCAGGGCATAGTGGTGCATGCCTGTAAATCATAGCGAGTTAGGAGGCTGAAATAGGAGGATCTCAAGTTCAAGGCTAGCCTGTGCAGCTTATCCAGATTCTTTTTAAAATTTTAAAAAGGGTGCCGGAAATTTAGCTCAGTGGCATAAGCACCTGCCTGGCAAGCATGAGGTCGTGAGTTCAATCCCTGGTGTAAAACAAAACAAAACAATTAAAAAGGGCTGGAGAAAGATGTACAGCTCATTGTTTAGTACATGCAAGATTCTGAGTTTAGTCTTGAGTACTAGGAGAAAAAAGAAATTACTCAGGGTAATTATAAAACCCAAACAGAATTAAGAAAATCAGTATATCTCTGGCTTAAAATTATTTAATTGGCTTTACAATGGAAACCAAGACAAAAATCAGAAACCTGTGATGTTTTGTAAAATTTATCAAGTAACAAAGTTGGATGGTTTCAATTTTGATTGACACACATACTTCTGCACCAATTAATCCTACTGTTGTGTCTACTATGATTTCTAGAAAATTGATCTCACTTTTCTTTTATCCTCTAGCTGTTTTAGTTATAGCATAGCTTGTGTTTCAACTTTTTTAAGTCATTGTGTACAAGAGATCATTCTTGGCTTCGAAATGTTGTCAACTCTGCTTATTATTTATTATTTAAAACTTTTTAAAATCCTATTATTTTTGCTAGGATTAGTTTTCTTAGTCTCTAGGGTTTAATTGTGAGTAATTTGAAAAAAATCAAAACTTTCTTAATGATTTGGAGAACCACCTGTTTGGTCACCTGTTTGTGAATGATTATGGATACTCTTCAAAATTTAAGGAAGTCAGAAATCCAAAAATATTTCCTAAGTTTGACACAAACTTATTAGATGGAAATACCTGATTTGAACTATTGTTTATTTGTAGTGCTTCTCAAATGTTGTAAATACTTATACTTTCCACTTCAGAGATACTGTTCATCATAGGATGGTACCATAGATGTTACCAGGGTATTAGTGTAATATACCATGCTACTCTTGTAAAATAATTCTGAATTTTGAAACACATCTGGCATCACAGTTTTCAGTTAGAGAATTGTTGACTTACATTATTGCCTGTGTCTTGTGCAAGATGGTTTAGGATGGAAATTTTTTTCAGAATACTTCAGAGTAAACAGTGGATACCTATATGATAATCTTCAGATTGAAATTGATTTCATAGGGTCAGTCAGCATCTGTTAAATATTAGTTTTTATTTTTTATGTGATTTAACTTGTTGGATATTATTACTATGCATTTGTGTAAGACTTGAGATGCTTTAGATGCCAGATACTATTACAAATTTTTTTTTAGCTTTAATGCTTCGTTAATTATAGAAGGTAAGGCAAGTTGACGCCATAAAAATTGACATGGTTAATACAGATTATTTCACTGTCTTATTATTACCTTTTCTCATTTTCCTATAGGTTTGTCTATTGGTATAAAATCCTGCTTCCTCTTTTTTCCCTACTTCACTTTAACTTTCCTTCCAAATATTTTTAGATTTTTACTTATTCATTTGGGTGTAAAGGAGGCCGAGAAGGTTTATTGAGTAGTGCTGAATTGCAGACTTGGCTGCTGCTGGCAGAAATAGAGGAAGCTTGCTAGAAATAGGCCTGCATAAGCTCCTTAATGTCCAGTCTATTTTTTCAGTGCTTATCATTTCCAGCATGTATTTATTTCTTTATCAACTTCTTCCATTTTAGAGTCTATAATAGTTATTGCATAGAACTTTTGCAAGTGTAGGTGACTTTTATCCTAATAAGCAGGAAAATTGATAGCTTCTCTTACATCTTTCATTTTCTGTGCCATTGTTGTTGTCTGTTTTTCACCTATGTACTTGATCTAAAATTGATTTTGTGTATTAGAAATGTGGCACAAGTTGATTATAAATACCTCTGCTTATTTTGATGGGTTAAGATTAAAATAAATGAAACAGTTTTTAGGGGGGGGCAGATTTACTTTTTTTGGATATAACACTTTCATTGCTTGTAAGCCATATAGTTAATAAAAGGAAGATGTAAAAGTAGAGTAATTTTTTTCTGTATTATATATCAGTAAGTTAAAGTCAAATGTTCAATTTTTTAAAATCCCCATTTATTTTTAGAAAAAAAGTTACTTCAAAACACCAGATATAGCATGAGCTAAATGACACAAAATAGTGTTCTTCTTTCAAAAATATATTTTAATTTAGTTATATATTTCATCTTCATTAATGCTATATTGAATTAACATTATATCAACTTCATTGATCTATTATTTAGTCAGATTGGGAATGTCTTCCATTCTTTGACTTAAAGTTGTTTATATTGTTTTTGCAAGTTATTCACAAATTTTGGTGGTTTCATTTGTGTCAGCGTTGTGTGTGTGTGTGTGTATGTATATACATATGTGTGGTTTTTTTTTTCTCATATTTTTAACAGATTCTGAAGGGAGTGGTAATGGAAGTGAAGATCCTTCAAAGGACAGTGGAGAAGGTTCCTGTAGTGATTCTGAAGAAAATATTTTAGAGGAAGAACTGAATGAAGATATTAAAGTAAAAGAGGAGCAACTTAAAAATTCTTCAGAGGAGGAAGTACTCACATCTGACAAACAGTTAATCAAAGTGGAAAAGAAGGAGGAAGAAGAAAATGGAGAGAGACCTAGAAAGAAAAGAGAGAAGGAGAAGGAAAAAGAAAAAGAGAAAGAAAAAGAAAAGGAAAAAGAAAAAGAGAAGGAAAGAGAGAAGGAAAAAGAGAAAGCAACAGTGTCTGATAATGTGGTTGCTTCAGCTGCTGCCACCACCCCAGCCACAAGCCCCCCTGCTGTCAGCACGTCCCCTTCTGCCCCCACGACGGCCCCCGCAGAGGAGCAAGTCATTGAGCCAAAGAAATGGAATCTGCGTCGAAACCGACCACTTTTGGATTTCGTGTCCATGGAAGAGCTGAATGACATGGATGACTATGACAGTGAGGATGACAATGACTGGAGACCTACTGTGGTGAAGAGAAAAGGGAGGTCAGCATCCCAGAAAGAGGGAAGCGATGGGGACAATGAGGATGACGAGGATGAGGGAAGTGGGAGTGACGAAGATGAGAACGATGAAGGCCATGATGAAGACCATAGCAGTCCTGCTAGTGAAGGGGGTTGCAAGAAGAAGAAGAGTAAAGTTCTTAGCAGAAACAGTGCTGATGATGAGGAGCTAACCAATGATAGCCTGACACTATCTCAAAGCAAGAGCAATGAGGTAGAGCAACCCAATTTTTCTGATCTCTGTCTGTCTGGGGAAAAGGGAATTCTTCTCTAAATCACTCTACTCATTATATTAAGTGGCTTACTTAAAGTCCTGTTTAGCTGGGGAAGTGAATGAGTGCCCTAAATATAACGTTTATTCATCAAACCTTTATTGAGTACGACTTGTCACCGTTCTCAAGGATCTCACAATCTTCATCCTCGAGAAATACTTAGAGAAGTATTTTCTTATCTGTAGACTTGGTAAATCATAGATGTTTTCCAGTATCCTTTTTAACCCTCTCCTGATTATTCAAAGCACTGCTGAATGGTGCTGAGTTGATTTGGAAAATTCAGGTCACCTTTTTTCCATAGCCACCTAAAAATGCAAAGTTTTAGAATTCTTTGGAGCAGGACAATAGCTTCATAAACTTTTAGAGATTCCTATTAAAAGGTTTTAACTCCTTTACCAATAGTAGCACTCATCATCAGTGTAGTTACCAAATCTTTGCTGTATATGTGTGGAGTAAATGTATACTTTGTTTACATATACTTAGTGAAATAATTGTTTCTACAAAGAAGTGAAAAAAAGTATCCATCATAGAACAAACATTTCTATAATAAAACTAAATGGCTCAGTTCTTCTACTTGAAGTTCTACTACTTGAAGTTAGGTTTGCCCTGTTGGTCCAGAGATGCCAACATGCAAGACTCTTCAGTGAAATCCATTTGTGTCTGTCTGTGTGTTATGTATATGTTTTTCTTCAAAAGATTCAGTTGTTGTCCACGTAGATGTATGTGTTACATCACATGCAGAACTATAATAATTCTGTCATTTATGTTCATGTGTTTATCACCAAAATTTATTTCTTTACCACTAACTTTATTTTCCCTCATCAAAGTATGCAAAGCTGGTAGATTTTCCTTTTAATGTTTTATTTGTTCTTTCATATTTTTTATAAATATTTCATAGCAATGATTATCTACTTTAAATTTTATAAAAAAGTTCATGATTTTTTTTAACCAAAATTTATAGGAAGCTATTAGGAATCATATGCCAGTGGAGATGAAACAGTTCATAGTTTATGTTGTAAATTTTGATTAACATTTTCCTGTGAAGAATGTTGCCTACTGACAGTGCCATCCTATTCTTAAGTAAAGGAAACTTATCATTAAGAATATAATGTATTTTTAATGATGTAGCGCAAGCTATTGCATATTATAATATAACCTCAGGGAAGCAGAAGTATGAAAATCCAGTTGTTAAGGTTTTAATTTAGACTTGTGTTCAGTTAATTTGATAGCACGTAATATTCTGCATTTATTGAATGTTTACTTTTGAGAAACATCTCTTCCTTGGTTCATTTTTATTAGACTGATATGCACAAAAGTAGTCTAGCTAATGATAGAAAAGAGGCAATGTGGATTAGATTTTTTAGGGGGACATCAACATATTTAGAAGTTTGTCACATAAAATGTATATATATTATCTGTTAAGAAGTTTTAGACTAACCTTTATTATGTATTTGAATGCCACATGTGCTATTTTAAAAAATTTTTTTTAGCCATAATGGTCATTAATGAGATCTTCTGTGTTTAGATTAATAGTTCCACAGACATGTCAGGAGGGAGATTTTAAAGCACCTTTTATAAAAGTACCCAAATAGAAGTATTAATGAAAAGTTAATTTCTCATGGAATTAACACTCTGCTTAAAAGTTTGATAACTGTCTTCAGAGCTGTATTCAAGCTCTTGTCTATTTTTTGACGATTTTAGTTCTATTTAAAACGAAGTATGAAATTTTAATTAAAAACTAATCAATTTAGATTATTACAGTTCTAAATTTTCTATACGTACATTTGGTTTTGTAAAAAAACAATTTATCTTTTTGTTGCCTCACGGCCAATGTTTGTATCTTAATCTTTATGTGTAGCTTAGCTAGTCATATTTGCTAAATATTTGTTAGATTGCTAATAACTATACAGTTCAATATATTTGAAGTTTGATTGTTCTTGTAAGGTTTTTTTTTTTAAATAAGTTTTTAACTTTTTTTTTTGGTATCGGAATTGACCTCGAGACTTCATGTTTGCCAGGCAGGCTCTGTGCCACTGAACTATATCCCCAATTGTTCTTTTAAGTGTTAAATATCACTTTGTAGTAGGAAAAGTTGAAAATGTAGCTTTATAAATATAAAATAGAGAGCTGGGCATGGGTGGTGCATGCCTGCCATCCCAGCCCTCAAGAGGCTGAGATGGGAGGATCACCATGAGTTCAAGTCCAGCCTGGGGTACACAGTGAGTTTGAGTCCTACCTAAACTATATAACAAGATCCTGTCTGAAAAAACAAATGAACAAAAATTACTTTTGTCACATTGTACAATTATTTTTTTTTGTAAATTATCTCCATTTTAATTTCTAATATTGCAAATATTACAGTCCTCAATAGTAAAAAACACTTAATTTTGAAATCATTGTAATTCACAGTCAATTGTAAAAAAATAATAGAGAGCTTGTATACTAGTTTTCTTCAATGATATATACAAATATTTGAGATTCTTAAAAATCTAACTTCAAAAACTCAAAGGAAGAATTACTAGTGTGCTAACTTTTTCTCAACTTTTAATTTTGGTTTGTTTTATAGATGTGTATTGGGATTTCCTTCCATTAGTCACAGACATAACTTGGGTAAAATTTAGCACATTTTGTATATCACTTGTCATCTCTATAGAATACATGTATCAGTGGATACTAAATGTATTTTAGAGCCCATGGAAAAACACTGAACAATGTTAACGTTTGTGGGGAAAGACTAGTTTTTTTTCCACGTGAAAAAATGAAAAAATAGTCACTGATTTGTCTTTGTAGTGCCCTATTTTTTTCCTTATATGATAATAACATTAGATTTCATTCATTTTATTAGAGTTATTTGCTAGGTGATACTCTTGTCAGTCAAAATTCACTTTTCTGATTTCTGTTTTTATGTAAAACAGTATATTTAAAATTTTGTGTTAAGAACTTTTAACTTTTCACTTGAAAGATATTTTCAGAAATATACTAACAAAAATTGATAACAAATTGGATTTTATGTTTATTTGATCAAAAGTGTGCTTAAACCTATGTTTGTTTTATTAAAAACACTTTTTTCAAAGACTATGTTTAAGTTTTCCCATTGAAGCATTTTCTGCCAACCTATTAAGGGAATAATGCAGGATCTAGTTTCCCACATTTCCCTCTTTGCACTGCATTTCTGGTAAGGGTTTCACAGGCTGGGAGTCAGAAGCCCAGAAATATCAGTTAGTTTGGCTTTCTTAGAATGTAAGTGATAATATATATATGTGGAGAGAAATTGGTGCAGATGTAGAATTTAGATGTTTATGTTTTTTTGACAAAATAGGACAGTAGAAGAATTATAGCTAGCCATTGATTTTATTTTATTTTTTCTGACACATGGAAATTGATTCACCAATGGCAAACTATGTTTCCAGGGCTGGATGGTTAAATTTCACCAGAGAAATGTCAGCAGAGTGCACTAATGTGAGTGGTTTTTTAATTGTTGAACTGTGGTGGTTTGCTAGGTTGCTTCCGAGTCTGTAAATGTTTTAACCTAGATACGATATACTAATTTTTTGGGGCTTAGGATATTTTAAATTACTATTGCTCATTGAGGCTTGTCATTTTTCTTTTGTGGTTCTAAAGGAGACCTTCCAGTGTGATAAGTTGTCATTTCAGATTTCTTTTTGTACCATTGAGAAGCAATTCAGAGGAAATGAAGTGAATGAATATTTATTGAGTGCCTAGCATGTGCCAGAGATATCCTTGTCACATATCTTATTCTCACAATCACCTTATGATGTAGGTGTTATCTTTATCATCCTCATTTTACTCATGAGGAAATTCACCTTTAAAGGTTAGCAGGTAGTAAGTGAGAGGTGAGAATGAAACCCAACGATGTTTACTTTAAGTAAAAGTTACTTTAAGTAAAGTTACTTTTAAAGCATGGTTAATGATGTGAAAATCTGGGAAGATTTTTGTGTTTGTACTGTGCCAAGTTACAATAAAGTACACAGATTTTTCTGCAGATTTTTTTTCAGCTTTGTTAGCTTTGTTATTTATTACCTTTAGACAAGTTTGGTTTTATGACAAAGAGAAGTCAAATGCAAAACCTTTGCAGCACTAGAATTCTCAGGAGAAATGACCTTAACTCCTTGTTGTATCTATTCTTCTCTGATTTATTTTACAGATAAACTGCAATCATAGATGTTACTAACAAAACATATTTGAAAACATTACTTATTTTGACATTTGGTTGTTTTCAAGTTTCATTTACAAATTGATACAGAAATATAGGCTTCACATGTTTCCTTTGGATATGGTAGCGTTTAAGAGATTATAAAATATAGAAAGTATTAATATGGAACAGTGCATTTTGTGAATATATGGAATGGAACTAATTTACTTTGTTTTTGAATATGGTTAGATTTAATGTGCTTTTTGTTTTGTGCCATTGGAAACTGAGTCCAGCATCTTTGCATGAAGCTACATCTCCAGCTATTTCTCTGTTTTTTATTTTTAAGACGGGATCTGCTAAGTCACTGAGTTCCATAATTTGTGATTGAACTTGGTGATCCTCTTGTCTTAGTCTCCCAGAATGCTGGAATTACATCTTTTACCTATATATAATATTAAGCTCAAACTATTAGATATGACAAGAACAATTTTCTTATTAAAGTTTAAATCCATATTGCAGAAGGGTTAAATGAAAGCAAGATACTTTTCTTTCTTGGAATTTTATCTTTTTATAATTCATGTATTCTTTATATTATAACTAGCTAGATATCTTTTTTTTTTTTTTTTGAGGCAGGGTCTCGCTGTGTAGGTAGATTATCTTTGTTACCAATTTGCACTAGATATTTCTTGACATAAATGCAATACATTAGTTTTTCTAGCAGCTGGATGACTCAGAATCTTACGGTGATTTTTCTGTACCTGTATATGCAGATATGCTTACTTAGACTGTTGCTGATGTGTCATCCAGTAATTTGATAACTGTGGAATTTGAATTCCTCAGTACTTATGGAATATAGCTTGTAACTCAGCCATCAGTTGCACCCTTGCACATATGTTATCTTGAACTTATTTCTTCCTGTTTTATATATGTATGTCTCATCTTTCTTAGGGAGCATTAAATGACCCCAAAGTGTAGGTACATTTACACTTTTAAAATAAATACATAGAATTAATAATTACTTGTGGGTTAATTTTTTAGCTCTTTTAATTTAAAGAAAAAAAGAATGACAAAGGAGACAAAGTTATTTGCATGTCTTTTTTATTTCATACAAGGGAGAAGATGTGGAACTTGTAGAGAAGTGAAAAATTGAGAGGGTGCTTAGAGGGTCCTTTGACAAGGAAGTATGGTTCTCAAATGTAGCATATATTGAGATTATTAAAAGAATGGAAAATACATTGAATTTATTAAAAGAATGGAAAAAATGTCAAACGTGAAAGTATAAAAATATTTTAAAATAATTTATAAGAGAATTTTACTTACTGAAATTATTTTTTAACTTAAATGTAATTTTTCTCATATATTTGAATATTAGGACTCGCTGATTCTTGAGAAGAGTCAAAACTGGAGTTCTCAAAAAATGGACCATATTTTAATTTGCTGTGTTTGTCTTGGAGATAACAGTGAAGATGCTGATGAAATAATTCAGTGTGATAATTGTGGCATTACAGTCCATGAAGGTAATTTTGCTTTTATTCCTTTAGAAATGGCTGATCAACACTACATTTACGTAAATAAAAATCAGGTTTTTTAAATTTATACTATTCTTAGATGTTTTTCTCCATTATTTAATGATAATTTAATGGACTAATACAGTATCTGTAAGGTATGTATTACTCAGATTATGTTAATATGGAAAGTGATATTTCTTTAAACACCTTACCATATTTTTCCTTTATGTTACTTATTTTTAGTTTTTAAATAAAGTTAAAAATAGAAACAAAGTGTAGAATGTCAAGAATGTTATAGTCCAAAAGACAGTGTTAGTAAAAACTTGTATCCGAAGTCTATCACTGTTGTATATTTTCTTCTTTCCTTGTTACTTTCTTGTCTTGAATTTGAAAGAATTTATAGAATTTTTTTGTTTGTTTTTTGTTTTTCTTTTTAGAGAGCATATTTTAAAATCTGAAATAGGACCCATTCTTGTGAAAATTGTATGTTGAAAATACTTTTCCTGATGGGTATGGTAGTCCATACTTGGAATTCTACCACCTGGGGGATCACTGAGTGTGAGGCCAGCCAGGGCTACAAAAGGAACCAAGGTCAGCCTGGACTGCACAATGAAACACTGTCTCAAAAGGACAAAAAAAAAAAAAAAAAAAGCGTGAGAAAATAACTGTTCCTTACAATTTTTGAACCCTTTTAATGTTGAATTTTTACCTTAAAAATTTATTATTGGGACCTGGGATCTAGCTCAGTGGCATAAGTGCCTGCCTGGCAAGCGCAAGGTCCTGAGTTAAAAAACAAAAGATTAAAAAAAATTTATTATGACATAGTTTCCAATAGGAATATAGCAACAGTTTCCATATATTCTTCACAAGAGTTTTCCAGATGGTAACACTTCACTATATTTGTTTCATCTTTTCTTTCATGTAACAGTTTCTTCACTTCAGTGTCAACTGTAGACAGCCATCTCCCTCTTAATATTCTCGTATGTATTGCTTTAGAACGAGGGCATTCTCTTACATAATCACAGTTATTAGCCAGAAATCAAAATTGATAGAAAACTGTTATATAATTTGCAGACAGTATTTGTTGTTTCTAACAAAGTAAAATGCAGATTTATGCATTGTTTCAGTTGTGTCTATTTGGTTACCTTTAATCTGGAATAAGCCTGAGGTTTTGTGTTTTACACCATTGGTATTTGAAGACTATAGGACAGTTTGCTTTCTTTCTTTTTCTTCTTCTTTTTCTGTAGAATGTCTCTAATACCAGGTTTTTAAATGTGTTTGCCCATGAGGAGATACATGTTATATGCTTTTGGCAAGCAAGTCCCAAAAGCTGTGGTGTGTTCTCAGTGCATCATATTAGGAAGCGTTATTTTTTTCTGCAATGATCATGATGTTATTTTGGTCACTTGTTTCAGTGAGTGTCTTCCTGGTTTCTCTGTTTTAAGATTGTGTGCTAGTTAATTTTTTCCTATCAAGATGGTGATTACCTCACACCAGTCTTTGTAGCCTTGCTTTACCTTCCTTTATGGTATTATTGCCTCCTCCAAAATGACAGAGGCTGTAATGATGATGTGTAAACAAACCAGCAACTATCAGGTTTGTAGTTAGGCCAATAACTATTAGGCCAGAAATATGGAGAAAAATAATGCAGGTCAAAGAATAAAGGAAATGCTATGGCTGAGAGTATTTGAGTGAATTGGCAGGAGTTTATATTCATAAAGGACAAGAAAGGAAAGTCCTTTGAGATAAGGTGAGAGCTGAATAGTGAGTGACCTAAAGGAAGTGAAAGAGAAAGTCTGATGAAAATTTATGGAACGAACACTCCATTTCAGAGGATATGGGGAGCTCTTGGCCATGAAGAGAACCATGAGTGATGATTTAAAAAAATGTTTCCAAAAGAGAAAGTGCATAATTGTGTCTCATAATGTTTTTAGAGTTAGATGAAGTAGTGTATCACATGGGAAAGTCCACTAATTCAGTGGCTGCCTGTTGTGTTACCCACCAGGCAAGCTATCCTAGAAGTCATGGGAAAACAGATTCACTGATAAAAATGCCTACATCACATGACCTAATAAATGGATATAAAATAGAGAAACAAGGCAGAAGATAGGAAACAGGTTAGCATACATAGTGTAGGGTACAAATAGGATAGGCTACACAAGTATATACTCCCATCACTGCTTATGTCCTATTGTTCAGATAAGCCAACCTGTGAAATACGGGGGACAGAATTCCAAGAGTGCGAGTGCCAGGAGACATTGCTCTCTGGGGGCTTTTCTAGAAGCCTCCTTCCACATAGTCAGAGACTGTAGTGTGCTGCATGCCTGCGGAGGTGACCAAGTGTAAAGTAAGGGTTGACAGTGATATAGGAAAGAAAGGGCAGCAGTTGGGGGAGCAAGGGCCTTGAGTACAGGTTTAGAGGGGATGAGCTTCAGCTCCAGGTGGACAGATTAAGTGAGAGTAGCCATGGTAACTGTAGGGAACAAAAAGAGTATGTGTTACAGATGTAGTCTGCTCTTAGATGCGATGATCGGTAAATGTGGAAGTTACTCTTTGATTGTTTCTTATTTCCTTAGTGAGACAGGAATCAAGCCATTAGCATGGTGGACATGGAGATGAGTTATGGACTTGGAGAGAGACAGAATGGGGAAAAACAGTTTTGGGGGAGAGCAGATGGACTAAGAGACCATAAATATATACACAGGTCTATCCATATATGTATATGTACCTGTGTATGCATAGGCACACACATATTGTATGTCAGCAGTAAGGGGTCACTTGATATTCTCAATAGTATATGTAAGATTAAGAACAGTCAGTGTGGTTGTGTATGATTGTGCTGTAGTGTAGATATGGTCTTGCTGGAAGCTTATTCCCTGGTGTGTCAGTGTTGCGGTGGAGAGAAATCATTAAGAAGTAGGACCTAGTCAAAGGTAATTAGGTAATGGAGGTTCTTCCCTCATGAATAGTTCATTATGGGACTGGATTAGTTTCTGTGAGAATGCTTTGTTACAAAGCAGGTTTGACTGTCAGCTCAGTTTCTTGCACTTGTGCCCTTTTGCATGTGGTCCCCCTCCCCAACACTTCTCTGTCTTGTTGTGACTTACCACAAAGACCCTTGCCAAGATTCTGCTGCCATACTGTTAGCTATGAGAATTGTGAGGTAATTCTTTGTACATTACCTAGTGTCAAGTGTTTGGCTGCAGTAACACCAGTGTGTTACTAAATGTGTTTTTTTCTCTTTATATAATAGTTCAGATTCCTGGGAGCAGATACAGAGTAAGGGAATGTTGGACATGGCATCAGTGGCACCTGGGTTTGTTTTATTGGTCAGCACTGGTGGTCACAATCATGTTATAGCTGTTTCTATCCATGATGTTATTGCTGATGTATGATGAGATACAACTTTTGCTGTTAGTGTTTGTGATTACCATGTCAAGGGCTCTATCTCTGTTTATTTTACTTCATTGTCACTTTGAGTGTGCTATCTTTATTTCTTAGATCATTCTTAGTTGAACTTCTTAGGTTATGGTCATTGACCATGCATGTAGTATTTAAAGGCCGGAACGATGATTTTAAGAAACTGAACTAGATGCTAACATTTAAATGCTGAAAGATTTTATCCTAACATTTTGGATTTTGAATTTCATTTGAAAAATGCATAGTTTTGGCAGCACCAGATTTTCACTCTTACACCAGCAGTCTACTGGAGCTGAATAGACTTGCCTCTTGCTAGTGAGGCCTGCAGTATGTCAATCAGTACACTCTTCTTTTAAACCACTGACTTGGTTTTGTTAGCTGTCTAATTTCTGGAGGTATTTGAATGTCTAGTTCTTCATCTATTTTGAGGATGCTTATGCCTTATGGTTTCAGTGTTTCCCATCTATAACAGGAAAGCAGTTCCTTTACTACAGCTCTTTTCTGTAGGTCTCAGGTGGGTGTCCAGTGGGAACTAGCACCATTTCAACATCAGAATGAGTTCTCTCCTGTGTCCTAATCAGACTTGTGGCCCTGGAGATCTTTCCTTAGGGTGAGCTCATTCCAAGTAGATCGATTGTTTATTTAACACAAAGTTTTGGATGGGCATTGCATTAGTCCCTCTGCCATTACAGGTTCATAAATGTGTATGCTCAGTGGCAGGTCTGTAGTCTTTCTAAGGTAGTTTTGATTTTTTTTAGAGACAATTAAAATGTCTTTATGTGAAGGCAGGCAAATAAGAGGATTAAGCTGAGTAGTAAATCCATTTAAGTAAAAAAGAAATTATGTCAATAAAGTCATACATATTTCACTTACAAAAAAAAAGAAAAAAACAATTTCATTTACTTTGATTGTTAATAATACTTTATGTACTTTTTTTTTTTTTTTTCTTGAGATTTGTAGTTCTGCTCATTACATAGTCCAGCCAGTCCTGGAATTTTTCCTTGATCCTCCTTCCTCAGCCTTCCAAGAGCCACACTGATTCAATAATACATATTGCACAATTAATGTCATTCACTATGTTACTTCAGTACCAACATATGTCATAGATTGATCAAGTCCCTCAACCTTTCTTCTTACCCCCCATCCTATCAGCCCTGGTCACTGTGATACACAGAACATGCAATTCTTGTCTTTCTGTGTGGCTTATTTCATATAGCATGATATCAATAACAGGATTTCATTCTTTTAAGAATAATAATACTCCGTTTGTGTGTATGTTGAGGTATTTCCTTTATCTCTTCATCTGTTGTTGGCTGCCTAGGCTTATTCCTCCTCTACTTAGTTCTTGTAAATAAGGCCACAATGACATGAGTATGCAGGTATCTTTTTTTGTATCCTTTTTTTACTTTTTTTTGATGTTATTTCCAAGCATGAGATAGCTAAATTGATCATATGATAGTTCTAACTTTAGGTTTTTGTGTCTTTATACTGTTTTCAATAGTGGCTGTACTAATTTACATTCTTACCAAAGATATAAGGGTTTCTTTACTGCATATTCTCACCAGCATCTTTTTTGCTGCATGTGATCT